ATATATATATATATATATAACTAATTGAAACCAAGAATTATGTGCATCAAAAATTAACGGCACGGGATCCATTTAAAAGAAACAGTGCGACAATGCAGCGAATACACATGGCTAGGTAGCAATACCGTATCACATATATATTGATTATCATGTATATCTGGTTAAGTAGCCGTAGCATATATGTTGGTTAATATATATATTGTTAAGTAGCAGTGTGTATATATATATATATATATATATATATATATATATATATATATATATATATATATATATATATATATATATATATATATATATATATATATATATATATATATATATATATATATATATATATATATATATATATATATATATATATATATATATATATATATATATATATATATATATATATATATATATATATATATATATATATATATATATATATATATATATATATATATATATATATATATATATATATATATATATATATATATATATATATATATATATATATATATATATATATATATATATATATATATATATATATATATATATATATATATATATATATATATATATATATATATATATATATATATATATATATATATATATATATATATATATATATATATATATATATAATTTAAACAATTTAAAATAATTAAAATAAATTTAAAATTCTATTTATTTATTAAACATTAAAAATATTATAAAAAGAACAAAAAAATTTCTAATATTTTTGATTTTATGATTTTTGGATGTTTTTATAAATAATATGGAAAAAAGTAAAAAAATAATATTTTTTTTAAAAAATAATTTAAATAAAGCACGAAAATAATAATTAAATAATAAAAAAAAATTATGAAAATAAAAAAAAAGATAAAAACAGAAAGTGAAGAAGGTAGGAGTCAAACTCTCAACCTCTTACACTCACAACTCCTTACACATGGAGGCCTTTTGCCAATTGTGTCATTTTATCCATTCGAAATAAAGTGGCATTAGAAACCATGTAAAGGTAGGACAAATTTGGGGTATGACAGATGTGTGTCGACCATTTGAAGTACCTTCACTTGGAGGAAAGAAGTAATTTCTGTCTTTTGTGGATGAGTTCATAAGAATGACATGGGTAGCACTCATCAATTTTAAGCATGAGGTGTTTGTTGAATTTCAGAAGTTCAAGGTAAAGGCTAAAAAATAGAGTAGTCAAAAGCTAAAAATTCTCAGAACTGATGGTGGAGGTGAGTACAACTCTACAGATTTCAGAAGGTTATGTGAGAAGAATGGAATTAAGCATGATGTTACTGCTTCATACACTCCTCAATACAATGGTCTTACTGAAAGAAGAAATAAAACATTGCTTGATATGACAATGAGCATGCTGAAGAAGATGAAGCTCATTCACACATTATGAGGAGAAGTTGTTGCCTTTGCAGCATATGTGCTCAATAAGTGTCCAACTAAGAAGCTGAAGGAAATTATTCCTTTAGAGAAATGGGCAGGAGATATGCAAAGTGTAGGCCATTTGAAGGTGTTTGTCTATATTTGTTACAAACATGTTCTTGATGCTAAGAGAATGAAGTTGGATGGCAAAAACAGAGTTATATTGCTTGTAGGGTACCATAGTATAGGTGCTTATAAACTCTATTGTTTTGTCACTAATAAGGTTGAATTCAATAGAGATGTCATTGTGAAAGAATTAGAAGCCTGGGATTGGAACAAGTCATAATCCAACTATGGTGCAATGATAACACCTGAGTTAACTTATGAAGATATTTCAAAATTTGAAGGAGAATCTGCCTCTGAAGGAGATTTTACCTTTGAAGATGACTCTGATGGTGAAAATAAGTCTGAATCTGAAGATGAATCTGATTATGATCTTAAGGTATCTGAAAATGAGTCTGAATCTGAAGATGAATCTGATTATGAATCTGAATCAAGACTTTGGTGGTAATAATGCCTTTGAAGGTGGTTCAACCTCTGAAGGTATCCTAGCATCTGATATTGTTCCAGCATCTGAAGAAGATTCTGAACAAGTTCAGAAATCACAAAGAATCAGACAAATACCAAGAAGATTTGCAGAGTTTAACATGTTACGAGATACTAAGATTGACTCTGAAGAGGAAGTCATTCAGTGTGCCATGTTGGTAGACTTTAAACTAGTGATTAATATAGAAGCTCTCAATAAGAGATTGTAGTTAAAGGCCATGAAAGAAGAATTTGAGGCTATCGAAAGAAACAGGACTTGGGAGTTAACGGAGCTTCCAAGGAACAAGAAAGCCATCAGCGTGAGATGCGTTTACAAGGTGAAACTAAATCCATATGGATCAATTGGAAAACACAAAGCAAGGTTAGTAGTTAGATGATTCCTACAGAAATCTGGTTTAGACTACTTTAAAGTGTTTGCACCTATAGCTAGACATGAAACAATCAGATTGGTGATTGTTATAGTTGCTATTAGAAATTGATCTCTAATGCACTTAGATATGAAATATAAATTTTAGAATGGTACTTTACTAGAGGAAGTTTATGTGTTACAACCTCCTGGATTTGCTAAAAAGAATCAGGAAAAGATGGTGTACAAGTTGCATAAAGCCTTGTATGGACTAAAATAAGCTCCCAGAGCCTGGAATCTGAAAATTAATTAATTTTTCAAGCTTCAAGGATTCATAAAATGTGAGATGGAGTATAGAGTTTATGTTCAATATGCATCTGATAGAAATATGATTATGGTGTGTCTCTATGTTGATGGCATGTTGCTAACAGTGAGTTGTTCATATTAGATAGCTAAGTTCAAGAAGGTGCTGATAAATGAGTTTGAGATAACTGATCTAGGAAATATGACATATTTTCTAGCAATGGAGATTATGTACTCTGATAAGGGTATAGTCTTGCATCATTTTAAGTATGAACTTGAGCTTCCGAAGATATTTGAGCTAATGAATTGCAAGCCTGCAATCACACCTGGTGAAACAAATCACAAGCTAAACTCTGATGTTGAGAGTGATGATGTAGATGCTAAAACTTTTAAACAATTGGTAGGCTCATTCAGATATCTTTGTAATATCAAACTTGACATCTGTCATGCAGTTGAAATGGCGAGTAAGTTTATGAACAAACCAAAGTGGTCACATTACCAAATTGCTGTCAAGATACTAAGGTATATTAAGGGGGCTCTGAGGTATGTAATTTTGTTTCCCTATGATGCTAAATCTAGTTCAGAGCTTATGTGTTATTCATACTTTGACTGGTGTGGAGACAGAGTTGGCAGAAGAAGTACTTTTGGATATTTCTTCAAGCATCTGGGAGGTTCTATTTCTTGGTGCTCCAAGACGAAACCAGTTGTTGCATTATTAACCTGTGAAGCTGAGTACATGCAGGTGCTTTGACTGCTTGTCAACCTGTGTGGATTCTAGACTTGTTGCGAGATTTGAAGATCAAGGTGAGCAATTCGTGGATCAGTCAAAAATTCAGTAGTGATAATTGCTGAAAAAATAATTACAAGTCTGAGTAGTGTGGGGAAGTCTCATGTTGGTTAAAATGTGGATACTTTAGCATTTATAAGTGGAAGAACTCACACACTTATCACCTTACGTTTTTGGGTGAGTATCTGGTGTGTTGCTCATAAAAAGGAATGCCCCTAAGTAAAATTCTCCCTTGTGTTGACCCCTCCCCCCCCCCACCCCACCCCACCCCACCCCACCCCTAATTAGCCGCAACAGTGGTATCATGAGTCTTTACTTTGATTGAAGGAACCGACTTACTTGTATCAAATTACCTACTAGGTAGGAGGTGGCCCATTGAAAAAGTGTCAACGGCGGTACAAGTGTATGTGAAAAAAAAAAAAGAATTTTCACTTGAGATGGAGCATTGTGGATAGACTCACACTTGAGTGGGAGTTTTGAAAAAAATTACAAATGTGAGTAGTGTGGGGAAGTCTCACATTGGTTAGGAATGTGGAGACTTGAGCATTTATAAGTGGGTGAACCTACACACCTATCACCTTAAAATTTTGGATGAGTATGTAGTGTGTCTCTCACAAAGGTGTGTTGCTCATAAAAAGGAAGGCCCCAAATTAAAATGCTCCCTCGTGTCATTTTTTCCTCTAGTCCTCACTAAATAAAAATTTAAAAATAGTTAACCTACTAGATTTTTCGAAAAAATCCAAAAAAAAAGACATATTACTGAATTTTTGGAAGAAAAAAAAGGATAAATATTTGTACTTATTTCTGCAATTTTTTAATTTTTAAATAGTCGGTAATAAATATGCATTTTTACCAGATTTTTTTAAAAATCCAGTAAAATGTATGCATTTTTACTGATTTTTTCATAAAATCCGATAAACATATATATATATTTACCGGATTTTTCATAAAATGATATACAATGGATGTCTTTTTACCGGATATTTTAAAAAATGCATACAACACATGATTATTTTACCGATTTTTTCTAAAAATGCAGTAAAAGTGTATGGTTTCGTACTAAAATTGCTACTTATTGATCATTAAATTTGAAAATTTACTGTAAAAACTTTGAAAAATCCGATATAATGCAGATCTTTTAAAAAATTTAAAATCATCCAATTCTTTTTGTGAAATGAATTATAATATTTTCCAAGACTAATATGGTAAAAGTATAGGATGTGTGGGGGTGTCAAGTATGGAATGACAGGATAAAATCTCATTTACCACATTCCTCACAACCTCACAGGACCATATATCCACCAATATTTTACTTTTGATATCATATGATCATTTGACACACATATGTATAGTATTAAACTCATTTTGATAACAGTCGCAAAAAAGAATTTTGAGTTATGTTAATTGGACACTATTTGAAGTTGCTCACTGAGTTACACAATTAAAGTACAAAACTTCAAAATAAATCTTAGTATGTTAACAGAAATTCATTCTTTTTACACATTCTTACAAGATTGCATAATATCTTTACTAATATACCGAAATTGAGCTATAGATACTGAATTTTCATTCCCTCAATCAACGAGCTATGAAGGAAGTAACCATTCCAGTTATAACTTCAACATCTGATCCATAAGTACAAGACCTCTCTAACAAAGTAGGAGAATGTTGAGTGAGAAGGGAAAGGCTAAGAACAACTTCTCCCATAGTTGGTCTCAACAAAGATTGTTCTTCAATGCAATTCACAGCCAGAGAGAACAAACTAAGAGCTTCAACAACATTAAAAAAACTCCCCAACTTAGGATCCATCCATCTTCTAACTCTTTCCTCTGTCCTCTCTTCTATATCAAACACGCCTTTGATATCCTTCCATAACATATTCACCTCGCGATTTTCGCTCAAAAACTTCTTTCCTGTTAATAACTCTAATAGAACCACCCCATATGCGAAAACATCTACTTTTGTTATCATAGGATTCTTTGTAGTTCTTGCAACAGAAAAATTCGATATCTTGGCCTTAAAGTTTGAGTCAAGAAGGATGTTACTTGATGTGATGTCTCTATGGACTATACTTGGTTCTGTGTGTTCATGCATGTATTGCAGACCAATTGCAACATCAATTGCTATGTTTAACCTCTGGTTCCATGTGAGGGAAGCCACTGAGCTTGAAGCAATGGAAAATTCAGAGAACAGCCAGTTATAAAGTGATCCATTTTCAGCATATTCATATACAAGAAAGTGACTTCCAACATATCCTGAAGAGACGCCGATTAGTTTTACAAGATTTGCATGATTTACCTTTTGAAGAATCGTTAACTCTTCTGTGACTGTGATTTCTTCCTTAACATGTTTCACAGCTAAAACATGACCGTCGATTTTAGCTTTGTACACAGATTTCCCTAGCCTATACTGTTCATTGAAGTTCATTGTAGCTTCCATAATCGCACCAACTAGATACACTTTTGGCTTACTTACATAGTTTGAAACTTCTGAAATTAACTTATCTGTTATCTCCACAGAAGGCGCATACTTATTCTCACAAGCTTTTCTCTTCCTCAAACAATACACATAAACTAGTAATGACAGTAAAATCAGAATAGTGCATCCTAGACACATACCAATGAAAATGACAATAGGAAAATGATTGTTTTTCTTTCTTCCACTTGAAGAATAGTGTAATTGTGAAATAGCTGGTAAGCTTTTCACTGGGATAAAAACTGGAAGGTTGGTTGCAGCAGTAAAATTCTGGCCAAAATTGTTTGCATTTGCAGTGATTATGTCATGTTTTGATGCACCAAACTTGGAAGCTACGAGGGTAAGATTGTCATTAGGCTGCCAGACATAAGTAATCAAAGACTCTATCCCTTTTGAAGGGCACCTACAGAACAAAGGAATGACTATTTTGGTGCCCACTGTCAACAAATATGGATTCAGGTTGGGATTTGAATCTTCTACTGTTATCCAATTGGTGAGATTCTGATATGAAATGGTTGAAAGATAGTAGTAACTTTCACCTTGTTTGATCAAGTGTGAGATATTAGCAAAAGAGTAACTTCCATTTCCACTGCAGCCACAGGTTATAGGTATTAGCAAAAGTTGACCTGGAACAAGGATCATACTCTCATCTTTTATGTTGCTTGCTCTTGCAATGGATTGAGGAGTGGTGTCAAATATATCAGATATGGTCGTGAGAGTTAAAAAATTCGGAAAGCGAGCAAAGTATGCAACGTATGTGTCACAGGAAAGAGGGAAATTCGTAGGGCGTGAGAAGTTTGTTCCTTTGGCAGAAAAGAACAGAAGTGCAAGAAATAGAGTGTGTGATGGAATGAAGTTAGAAACCATTGTTATCAGAAGGTGTGAACAAATGAAAGGCACCAGGGAAGAGAAAAGGAAATCTGTATTAGTTAGAGATAAACAGATTCAGCATTGTTGATAAAATAGTTTATTGGAATAATAAAATCAGCAGGAGATTTTGTCTATAGCTTTAACCATAAATTCTTTTGTTGCTTTCCTACTACTTGACACATTGGACATTTGTCATTTATGTTGACAGTATGCAATTTATGCACAAATGAAATTCTATTCTGGATTTTACTTCTAACTTTTCAGCTAAGAATATATAATTTGATTGAGTGTTCTAGTGACTAATCCATCTTAGGACGGCTAATTGTCTTTGCTACCACTTTTATCCAAGGATCACGGCATCTAGCAAGAGCACATACCAAATCTAAACACCAAAGAATTGTCATCACATGCAGCTAACAAAACTTCCCACCACAAATGAATGGTATATTGTAGTAAATTCAAACATGATGTTGCTAAGGCGCTAGCAAATTTCACTACACAGCAAAGTAAAAGATTTATGCTCTGGCAAGAAATAAGTCGATAAATTTCTCATCCCTCAAATCATTATTCTTCTGAAAAGAGCATATTTAGAAGTAGCTAGTTTTTTAAAACAAAACAAAAAACTACATATCCATGCTTACAAGAAATTATGATATCTAAAACCTGTATTCAACATGCCCACAGAGCACAACTGAGTATAAAGTTACAAAACTTGATTTATTCAATAGCAAAATATCAAGGATACTTATTTCTCATATCAAACCTTTTCTAAGGCTTCAAACTGAAATCTTAATGACCATAGACAATAAATTATTACAACAATGAATAAGCCTTGTACAGAGAAGTGTTGGTCCTATTTGTGAGATAACAGGAGAGTTCAAGAAATGAAGTGCATAAAATAATAATAAGGCCACCCATCCGAAATAGAACTAGACCTGCAAGAAGCTTGCATACTTTGCACCCAAGAAAAGCCTTTGGATGCAGAGAAGTGCATTTTTGGTAACCTCAGCGCTCTCATGATTCATTAGTTTCATCACCCGTTCCTTGGCTTTAAGGTCTGTCACAATGATCCGCCCAGCCGGATGGCTCTGGATGAACTGTGAAATGTCAAAGCAAGCAACAGCTAGAGTCCTTGGATCATTGGAGGAGTCCAAAATTGTTAATAGGACCCTTAGAATCTGTAACAGATGAAGCAAGTATGAAAAGGTTGTAAATAAACGTTATTGAGAAGATAGAGAGTGCGCAATTGAGATTACAATATAAATGATCTTTCATTTCAGGAATATTTTCTTCCATTGCCTAATGGCTCTTCACATACATAATCATCTGTTCTTGCTATAAAAATGCCGTCACTGTTAAGTGGAAAAGAAACATGCATGTTCTAAATGTCTGATGGAATCCATAAGCCAGAGGGAACAACACAACACATAAAGGGGTTTTCTACACTCACAAACACTAGGGGAAACATGTTGAGTCCCATAGATACCAATTATTATACTCCACAAAAAAGCAAGGAAAATAGTATGAAGCACGGACTCCGACACGGACACCGGGACACAACACGGACACTCCGACACCGATAATATTAAAACATACGACACCGACACCGCTATATATAAAAGAGTATTTAAGCTTTATTTATCCATCTATGATTAAATAAGTTGAAAATATTCTAATCAAAATTAATGCCTTTAATAATACATGGTTAACAATTTTAGATTTGTGTGAGATTTGTCCAAAATATGTATAAAAGTGTGTTGAAGCAAAGAAAAAAACGAATTTATGTTTAAAACACTTGACTGAATTGTCAAACATGTGTTATGAGTGTTGTATGGGTGTCAACCATTGATTCAAAGAGTGTCGAAACAAAGAAAAAAAGCATTTTTTTAGTGGACACTTGTCTGACTTTTCCAACACGTGTCAAACAGGTTTCATACAAGTGTCGGACACCGCGACACGCCTACTCCTAGAGGTGTCCGTACTTCATAGGTCACTATGGAATCAAAAGTATGCCTTTTTGTCTTCACAGCCTAATTTTCAGGTGTGCTTTAATAAAAATGAATTGAAGCACAAAAGTATGCAATAATGCAGATACCTGGAAATCATGATCTTCAAAATTGGTTATATTTTCTCGCCAAAATATGGGATCTTTGTGCATGGGAGACCAGTCTAGATTGCCAAGGAGAACTTCTTGCTTGTACTTATCAAAAGAACTAAGCTTCTTGATGTTATCCTTAAGCCCTTCTTCAAGAGAATTCAGCGCCTCCAACAAGTCCTACGAAAACTTTTCTTATCAATAGAAAATTCGGGAAAGTTACATGAAATACATACTTTCAAAAAGAAATGCAGCCAGATGCTTGAATAGCGATAAACTTCCAGAAATGTAACATCTCGATAATGGGAGAAGAACATAGTTATATTATGATTAAAATAAAGCCAATTTGAGCAAAAAGTAAGAGCAAACCGAAAGGGTTCTTTCTTATTAAATGAAAAAAGGTGGTTGGTAGTCCGATACAAATGTGCATACAAATTACTAACACAACGTTGTATGAATGTTTATGTATGCTTGTGCCAAAAATGCTTTTCAAAATAAGAGAAGGAAACATGCTGTGGTTAGCTGGTTAAGGAAAACAAGCAAGATGATAGGCAGTGCTAAGGTAGCAAGCATCACTATTGTGTAATCCAATTTCATTTACCACGTTGTCAAGTCATCAAATATATGTTGCGGCTAGTAAATAAGCGGTTAAATAGGAGGATAGGGATCCAATCTTTCCAATGAACTGAGAAGACAGATTTCAAAATTTTCCTTTTTCTATTAAAATGCTATCATAATGATCACAACTATATCACAAAACATGATCACATTCAAATTAAATCAGTTTTGACTGCAAATAAATCAAGATTGGCGAGAAGTACATGAAAAATCACTAACTCTGCATGGCTCCTATTATTATAGTTTCATGACATTTCAACAAGTAAATTTTCAACAGAAAAATTTGTGCAGGTCATAATTCTTCACCTCATCACTCCATGCTTGTGCTTTCAAACTTTGAACAACCTGTGGAAGCTGAAGATCAACCATCTGAGCACCCAATGTCCCTTTCGACAACAAGTTTTTGAGTGTCAAGACAACAACTCTAACAACCTAACAAAATAGGCAAAATAATTGTGTAACATTAGATTTCTATGACAGATAAAGTGATGAACTTATGAATATAGATTTTTAGCTACTATCGTGGCATGGGTGAACATAAAACCAAACGTAAATACAATTTAAGCCAACAGCCATCATAAGTTTATAACTAATAATTGCCATTAAAAATAAAACCTGAACAACATTTTGTAAGAAAAAATGAGGCAAACATAAATGGAACAAGTCAGCTATACCTTTTCTTTTGTAGAACTCTTAACAACCTCAATAAGTCTTGGAAGGGTCCTTGAAGTAGCCAAATATTCAATTGCAGGCTCATAATATGATAAGAGCCACATGCAGAGACATGTTTCATAAAGAAGCTGTTACAAAGGAAATTATCAATTAAGTTCCCGACAAACAGGTGTCATTCCATCAGTGTTCTTCAAATAGAAATTAGTATTTGGCTAGATGCATGAAGCATATTCAATTTAGCCATCTATATGCAATACAAGCATAGCTAGATATACTATGCTTATGCAGGCACCCATGTACAATACTTTTCAGATTTTGTCATATCTTTGAATTCCAGCAAACTTACCTGAATAGATTGTTGAGTGGATGCTGGACAAATCAATGGCACAAGCAACTTGACTCCATCAGCTTGAACAAAGGAAGACCTAACAACAGGTTCCTTAAGTAGAGTTGATAGACAATTGATAGCTGTTGGAACTCCACGAGTAGGATGAGAAGGTTTCTTCAGCTACAGATACAATAATTAGAAGGCATATATTACTTTATGTAAAAAAATATATAACTGACTCTGTTCCCACTTTGGAGTTAACATGCATTTATTTTCATTCACGTGAAGCAACATCTTATGAACCAAATATGGACACTTCTCCCGATGAGGATTCATATTGTGGATCACCACAAATGGGGAACAAGCATCATTTGCAAGACCCAACCGCCTTTGGTTAGGGGTGTGAAAAAAACTGGTTCACAAGAGCCAAACTTAAAAATATGGCGCACCTATTTCAAAAGTCCATATTATTTGGTTTAAAAACTAGTCCAAATTTATTTTACTAAAACCATTAATATCCGGTGTCCACTTTTTAAAACCAATATATAAATGGTTAGTCCACTTTTCAAACATAATGTGCTCTTTGTCTTGTTTTTGTTTCATGGTCATAAATGACAATTAAGGTAATGTATATGTAATAAATAAAACTTAATATATATATATATATATATATATATATATATATATATATATATATATATATATATATATATTACTTTTTTTAAGAGAACTTAGTGTTCTCATTGTCTCATAATGATACATTTAGTCTTTCATCTCACATTTTAAATGGCTATTATTAGATTGAAATTATATGATTACTAAGTTGCTTTTGTATGCTTCTTTCCTTGAATTAATTCAATTATTAAACTAATATGTTTTTTCTTAGAAATCTTTTCTACTAAAGTGATGACGGGTGGAGTCAGAAAAATGATAAGTGTAAAATAGTATATAGAGAGCATTTTCTTGAAAAGGTGAAAAAAAAGAGATTTTTATATAAACAAGAGAAAATTATATGTATGCGATTGAAAATTACTCAATTTTGTAATTACTCAAATTTTGATTTTTCTGATTGAAAATTATTTTTATTTTTTTTACGGTTCCTTAGCATTTTTTTTCATAATTATTTCAATTCAATTTACTGCCAATGAATATTAATTTCAAAAATGGTTGGATGGAGTTAAGAATAAGTTGTTGGATTAAGAATTAAATTTTAGTCGAAATAAGTTTGAGGGAAATTTGGTTTTAAAACTGGTCCAAACAAAAACTGATTTTTTAGTGCAAACTAGTTATTAACCAAACCGATCCAAACATAAACTGGTTTTGTAAAAATAAACCAGTTTTATAAAAGTGGTTTTAAAAACCAAACTGATCCATATATTTGGTTCAATTTGGTTTGGTTTTAAAACCATGCACACCCCTACCTTTGGTAGATTAAATTCAAATGTGACTCTTACAAAGTATAATTGATCTTCATATAAAAAGCTAGTATATATTTGATCTAACAAACTCAAATAATATATCTTTCAGAGGCAAACATATTTCTCTTGAAAGACCTTCGCATATCTCGAATTGATATTACCATTTACAACACTAAGATTATTAGTTAATGACTGAATTTGGGTTAGTGAAAGGAAAGAGTTTCAGTATTACACACCTGCTCACAAAGCCATTTTACCAATCCTATCAAAACATCATCAATAGAGGTAATTGATTTCTTTTCATTTGATGCTTCTCCCTTTGAAGCATTGCCACTCTGATTTTTTGGCCTGACACTACAATCAGAAAAGGTTACAATTTTGCAATAACTGAAAATTAACTCTCCTTGGCTGATATAATTCCAATAACTTTTTGAATTAAAACGTCAGAATGCCACATGTTTATATTACCTGACTATTAAAGCAAGGATCTTACAACTTTTCTCTTGTACGAACCAATTTCCTTTCCGAAGCAATCTGCAAGATGTCCAATATTGTTATTTTTTATCGTCTATATTTCATAACTTTTGACTACAATGAAAAGAGACAAAATACAAAACAATCATACTGTTGGTTATAGGGTTTTAGATGAAAAGGAAGTAAACAAATAAAGATGTCGAATTGTGAATAAGGTCTGATATCATTGATGATTATCATTTGACACAAAAAGATTAAACTCGGACACATATACTAATACAATACTTATAGTCTTATGATACAAACAGATAAATGTGAAAACCAATCTTCAGGGAGATTCTGAGATACTTTATGATAAGAAACTAATTCTACGAGACAATCAAATATACTGTAAAATAATATCAAGATACTATAAAATATTCTAATAATTCTAACACTCGCAAAAGCTTACTAAGCTTAAGCTTGTTATTGAATAATATAACTTCATATTGAAAATCAGTAGATTAGATCACTTCTGGAACAATAGTCGAGACCAAATTTCCGTTGGGACAAAAACTAGTGTCTGTAAGTATGATAAAAAAAACATCAGCCAAACTATAACTGAAACTGGATCCAATACCAAATTGCAACTAAGTCGGAACCAATACCAAAGCACATCTGAGACAACCGGTACCAAACCACAACTGAGACAAAACTTCTGCAAAAATATTGCATCTAAAACAAAACCTATGAGGTACTGAAAGCATGGACGCGGGGCACGACATGGACACGTCGACACTGCTAACTTAAAAAATATAGGTCACCAATACACACACACACACACATATATATAACTAAATAAAATATGAACATTTTCTATAAAAAGATCTCAATTGAGAATGTATATATGTGCAGATTGGGCATTATGTTTCATTGCAAAAATGTTTAAATAAAATAAGACAGTTTTTCATCTTCATTTCATTGCAAATATAATGTCTTCAATCCCTTCATTAATCAATCATCACTCTCCGCTTGAAACTGGTCTCAACAAAACTAGAAAGAGTCAGATGAATCAAACATGACCAACAGCGAGACGAATAAGCAACTGGAAGGTAGCACGTGGATTGATGGTTGGAAAGTGATGGCAATGGCCGGATAATTAATATAAATATAATCATTATATTGAAGTACAGAGTACTGGGGAACTTTGCAAATGAATAGTGATGGGATGAGTCAGGAAGTCTGGTATGGATCTGATACCATGTTGAAGTTAAAGGGTTTCAGATAAAGAGAGAAGCTAATGAATAAAACAACTACAAACAAAAATTCTATAAAACATGTTTGGCTGAAGTAATCGCTATGGCCGCAGCTCACAACCATATTATATTTTTTTTTAAACTGCAATTTAGTCTAACTGAGCTTTTACCATCTCCATAGCAACGTAAATAATTAATATGAAAAACAAAAACATATTCTGAGTAAATACTTAACTTAGGAAAGGCTCATAAGTATCATCATCTGCAAGGGCATTGTCATGAAACAATCTTGCTCTTTTTGGGTTCGCTGCCAAAGATGAGATAATGTAAACATTTATCTAGTCATACCATTGATAACAGACAGTGATATAAAAAAAAGAATGCCATTTTATTCAACAAATTACCTGTCAGCATTTCATCTATCAGAGCCAAAACATACTCAACTGTATCCTCTTTGAAAATATCACGCAAAACATGAACAAACACGCGAACATAAGCCGGACCATCCTGCCACACACGAAATTGAATTTTCAACACTAGAAAATAATCAAACTCCAAGTCGTAATCAAATCTACTTCAAATAAAAATCGAAAAGTAATAAACAAAATAAAATAATTACATCATCGAGCAACTGTGCTCTCTGACTTTCCGATCGGTGATCGTAGCGCCTTAAGAGCTGAAGGCTAGTACCAGAGATGAGCTTGGTGGACATGTAGGTCTCCCATGGAATGTCCCTACTCAGAACCTTCAAGAAAACAATAACACAGCATCAATGGAAATCGAAAGCATTGCAATCCACAACAACTAAAAAATCGAAGAATTGAGCGCAATCGGAAATTTGCAATCAGATCGAAGAATTGAACAACAAAGGGAAGGGAATCAGATCGAATCGAACCTGATCGGTGGTTAATTCAGCCTGGTCCATGATAGTGGAGAACCCTAGAATTCGAAGAGTTCGCCGGAAAAACTGTTACGAATTGGTACTGTAACGAGAAAAGGGAATGAAATCGAGTACCTTGCGCAAGCGATTGGGTGGTTTTTCGATTTGTAGCCGAGAAACACAGAACTAGAGAGAAAATTAAAATAAATCAGGGTCCATGATACCATGTGTGTTTTTTAAATAGGTCTCACTTATTTTTTTTAAATTATATTACAATTTTAAATTATTTAAATAACTCAATTATATTTTTCAAATATCCATATAACTCATAAAATTTATAAAATGGGTCTCACTAAATACCACAAATATCTTATATTAAATTTTTTTACAATCATTTCCAATTAAATAATTAATTAAATACACACTTGTAGAAACGTTGTTTAATATTACAACGGTTGCAAATTAAAGAACGATGTTATTATACAATTATCCATTATTTTTTGACACAATCACTTTGGTAATAGTGTAGGAATCATATATTTGTACCGATAATTATGCTCTCAGTTTTGGAAGCAAATGATGAAGTATCCTTCTCCCTCCACGACCAATTTTACAATCATGTTCATCCTTTTAACACGTGGCTATCCATCACATTACATTAGCATTTTTTTATTAAAAAAATTAAAATGATTTAAGTTGATTAACTGATTTAAGTTGACGTGATTTTGATTTTCGTTTATGTATGTTTTTAAATAATAATCGAATGTTAAAATCTTTTTATTTTTGTGACATTGCCTTTAGTGTGGATAAGGCATGTTAGTTTATGGCAGCACTTTTTGAGGTACATTGGTCAGCTATTCGACGAATATTACGATATCTTAGTGGCACTCTATCTTATGGTTTGTTGTTGTCTCCCTCTGTCTTAGATCAGAAATTCTCACTTAAAGCTTATATTGATTCTAATTGGGTAAGTGATCCGGATGATAGGAGGTCAACATCAGGAACTTGTATTTTCTTTGGTCCTAATCTAATCTCGTGGAGTTCCAAAAAATAGTCCTTGGTAGCTCGGTTAAGTGCTGAAGTGGAGTATTGTGCGTTGGAACACTCTACTTCAGAGTTATTATGGATCGAATCTCTCCTCAATGAGCTTAATATGTCATTTCACACTACAACTCTGTTGTGTGACAACATGAGTGTTGTGTTAATGTCTCACAATCCAATTCTACACGCGCGAACTAAACACATCAAGCTAGACATTCATTTTGTGCGTGAGCGGGTGGTGTCCAAGAAGTTTCAGATTCAGCATGTTCCTGTACTAGCTTAAATTGCTGACACATTGACAAAGCCCTTAGGTACTGCAGGTTTCCAGGATTTGCACAACAAACTCAAGGTCGCATGCTTCCACCCACCTTGAGCTTGCAGAGGGGTGTTAGAGATATTGATATCTCTATACATATATTATACAGAATATCGTGACTTAGGTTCACAATTCTAATAGTAATGTACTAAGGCATTACTTGTAAAGTTCAGTTACAATAGTCATGCTTGTATTGGTTGTTACAACTAGTTATGTGTGACAACTGATATAAATAGATTGTATTATCCTACTTTAGAACTAATGAAACAATATACTATTCTTTTCTTCTTCATCTTCTCTGAACACTGCAAACTCTACAGAAGATGAATTCACACTCCAACTGAATTCTAACATTGTCAATGTTATGTTATAAAAAGGGATTTGAACTTAACTTCTCTTCTTTTACCACTCGCTTAAGAGCTTTTTTTTGTTAAAATGCATTCACCATATTTAATATATTAAAAAATCTCCATTTAATTGCATTCAAGCGCAATGTCTTTCATCACTTTTATCACTCTTTTCACATCACACTAATGTTTTTGTGAAGCATAAGTATTAGACATGACTACATAATTTACACTTTTTTTAGCTCAATAGTAAACAGATTTTCTGCAGTCAATTTAGTCAACGTTATATTTGAATATAATTTGCAAGATTCAATCATTGTTGTTAATGTATCTGATTCAGCTTGAAATGATATTGACTTCAAGAACTCAAAAGCTTAATTTATAAGACTATATCTTCCTAAAAAGTCAACAAGGCAAGTGTAATATTCTGTATCAGGGAAAATTTGATACACATTGGTCGTTAATTTGAAGATGTGAAGTCCCTTTGTCACAAGTGTGCGATGAGCACAAGCAGTGAGAACGCCGAGAAAAAAGATTCTGAAATAAGAAAATTACAATTGTGTATGATTTAATTCATTTCCAATGTCGCGTGATCCAACAATTGCGAGTGCAACTTTTTGTTATATATGTTTTGTCTGTCGTCAAAACTAGGACATTTTAGCGTTTATGCACATTGGACGGTATCATCTGAGTCTAGTTGTGAATTTTAGCAGTATGGAGCATGATAACATGTTGGAAAAGGATTATAAAAGATTCATGCATCAAGAAATGATTTTATGCATCAAAAATGTGAAAAACTCTGCTATAGATCGACAATACGATTATAGGTCGACACATAGAAGAAAATTTCTTCTACAGGTCAACAAATATGTTCTATAGGTTGGCACATGTGCTACAGTTTTAAAGCATGTAGGCTCTGTTAGATGTACCGTCTTTACAGGTCGACACATGACTTGCATAGGTTGGCACATGACTTGCATAGGCCGACCTATGCATCAAAAATCTTAAGAAATTGCATTTCTTTCCTTTTGCTTCATACTTGCGCACATATATATACATGTTATATGCATCATTTCTTTTCAATGATTTTGGTAAAATCATAAACGAAACTTGGAACATACTAAGAGTCGTCGTCATCTTCAACCTTGGTTTTATGCATAAACACGAACAAAGTACACATAATCATTCATTATTTAGGTGTCATCTAGAATTAAGTTGATAAGGTTTAATTTAGCTCGTGGTATTGTAAATTGAGTTAAGATCTTATGGGGGTTTCAAATAAGAAAACCAACGTGGTGTTTTCATTCAAGCTCAAAGTGGGTATTTGAAGGTTTTTGACAAGACTACTCAAGTTTGGATTCAATCGAGTGAAGATTTTGAAGAGTTGCGATTCTTGCAAAGGAATAGCGTGACACAGTGGATTATCTTAGTAAAGCTTGGATTAAAACAATCAAATTCGGATCCAATCGAGTGAAGGTTTTAAAGGGTTGTGAGACGGTGAATCGAATTGGCATTGTTGGGTGACTTGATCAAGGGAAGAAAATGGGTTAGGATCAACAACAAACATAGGGTTTGTAGGGTTGCATTGTTACATTTCTCTTGTAAACTACTATTTTCAAAGTAAGAATAATTTCACTATCTCAATTTGAGTTTGAATTGAGGATAAACATACCCATAGCAAGGCCGATTGAGGAGCTGCCTAAAACATATCCTTCTATACTCTCTCTATCTCTTTTACATTTCACTTGCAAATTGTTGAGTTCATCATTTGTGCGATTAATTCGTTTGGTAAATTCTTTTGAAAATCGTTTGAAAATTTTTTGTTGAATTTATCACAACCATTTTGATTGTGGTTAGATTTTAAGATCAACAAAATTATACAAATTTCCAAACAAAATCAATTGCACACAAGGTGTTCGATAATTTGTTTCAATTTTTTTGTGTTATTAATCATTAGATATAGAATTTCTTATTGAGTATCTTTCAAGAGATTGTGATTGAAACTTATTGATTAGATATCTTATCATTATCTTCGACTTGTTTTCACATAGCATATCTGAGCTTTTCGTTAGCGGTTTGATTTAGACGAACGATCCAAGTCACTTCCGTCAGCCACTATTTTTTAAAACACTTTTGGTAAATAGTTTTTTATTTGGGGATCTATTCACCATCCCCTCTAGATAAGTCGTCTTCGTCTAACAAATGGTATCAAAGATCTGGTTAATTTTGTTCTTCAAATATTTGCATATTAGAAAATGGCTACCGAACCTAAAGAGGCGTATAATAAAGCGTCATTTTTTTACCGATGAAAATTATGGCTATTGAAAAGCTTGTATACGTATCCGTATCGAGTTGGTCGATAAAGAAGATGAAGAAGGAGAAAGGTAAAGACAAGGAGGTAGAGAAGAAGTCTATTACTCTAAAGACTTCAAGCTCAAAGTCCTCAAACCATTTAGCAAAGTGATTGTGAAACAAGTGATGACGAGAAATCCGATGATGACGACACGGGGTACAACTTATTGTATCATTATTGTTGCAACAAAGGTCACACTGTTGAAAAATGCAATTTTAGGAGATTCTTTGTTCCTAAAGGAGTTTTATTTTCAATGGTTGCCTAAATGCAACCAAAGTTACATTATCCACAAGGACCCAATGAAGATTGGGTGCCTAATACTTTTTATTAATTTTTTGGGTAGATGCCTTGATTCTATGAAGAGAGTATGAGATCTTTTTTATGGATGTTCAAGAAATGATATGGGGACATCTCCTTAGTTCTTTGACTTTGTGGCAAGAAAGAAGGATTGTGTTACCAAGGGCGTCAATAATTAATGTTCTTTGATTGGTAAAAGTGTGTAGACTACTTGTAATGCTTTCATCCAAGAAATATAGAAAAGGTATTTCATTTAATGCAAAAGAATTTTCTTCAAGAGACATACTAAAAAACATTGAATAAGGGATTGACCAACCTAAGATGATGAAGCTTGAGGAGGATTAAGATAGCTATCATGAAAGAGACAAGATTGAAAGTCCAATCAAAAGGATGATCATCAAATCAATAATTTTTTTTCGTGGATTCATTGAAAATTACACAATTGAATTCTTTATCAAAGTGAAAGGTGGTAAGATCGTTGTTGATATTGGCTTATGACACGTTTTGCATTTATTCCAACTTTCATTCGAAAGTTCCTTGTGGGATGCATGTGCATCCTCCGTCATTCGTACGGTGAGGTAATATTGTTTCAGTTTTTGCTTTGTAAGTAAGTTTTCTCTTTTACTTATTTATTTCTCAAAGGTATATCATATATGGTTTGTATGATACATGTTATGAGTGTTCATTTCCA